ATAAGATTCTCAGGCACATGGAATGTGCTTGGGATTGTCCTGTGCAKGGYCAGGAGTTGGACTTGATGGCCCTTGTGGGTCCCTTCCAACTCACCTTATCCTATTATTCTATGATCAGTGGGCAGAGAAGTCACCTCACACCCCTTTGCTTCTGCAATGGTTTTAGAGCAATATAAGATGATCTATAAACATCTCAAGCTCTGGAGGAATAATATGATCTTTCTACCAACAACTGTAGGGTAATAAAATTGTACAACCTAAGTACTGGAAAAATTAGGAAAATTGGACCTTCCAGACAATTAKTTTGTTTTGGAATGTTACATTGAAGGCCTGTTCTCAGAAATTGCATAGCCTCTTTATAGAAATTGACATAAAAGAATTTAATCCTTCTTTATGACATGGAGAAACAATGAATCCTATTCTCACTGCTGTCACAACAGTTGGAGGCAGTTCTGCAGAAGGTCTCAAAACCAGTTGATGCCTGGAGAGTCACCTCAGCTTGTGTTTGCAGGTGAACCAAACAGACATCACTGTTTCATACTGGTTGATTCTTGCATGTGATAAAGTTCTTCTTAGATTTATTTTCCTGCAGGAAATAAATGTTGAGTGAAGATGCTTTCCCAAGAAATGAGTGGAGAAACTGCATCTTTCCAACAAGCTCAAGAGATACCTTGCTGTCCTGGCTCACACAGGGAACTGCTTCTGGGGCATTTCTTTTTCAATCCTGCTACGGCAAAGCTTGCCCAATTGGCTTTCACTGTCCTAATATTCTTATTTGGCCACACCAAAGTTCCTAGAAGATTTAAAGTACATTACACCATGAAAAGACTTGTCATTTGACATTTGATTTTGCAGTAGCTGTGCTCAGAGCTCTTTGAAGGAAACTTATTATCTAGAAGACATAAATCAAGTCAGAAAAAATGTTACAAACAGGTATCATAGAACAAAATAATGAAAAATTATATGATAAACCATGCAGGAGGAGCTATATAGATAGAAAAGGAACAGAGAATTGGTCTCTGATCTTGTAAGCTTCTTCTTAACTACACAACACAATCATTTCTTGACTTTTTGCATGATTAGTTCTTAGTTTCCTTAGGGTAGAAACAGAAGGATCGAGCAGAAGAATACAAAAGCTAACCAAAAGCATTATTCAGGAAAATAGACTACAAGAATGAGGATAGCTGGAATAGGGCCTTGTGTAATGATTGGCACATGAATGAGTTCATTTGAAATGTAAACACGGAGAGGGATGGTCAGAGGGGGCGTAAGATGAGCAACTCAGCCTGATGAATAACTGTGGAAGTGATTAAGACTTCCTGATCACCAAAAACAGTAATGTAAGAAGAGGTTGGGCAAACAGGAAGGAACAGAAACATTCCCTTTTCTGTGCTCAACTGTACCTGCCTCTGTGTGTGACTAAATCCGTGCTTGTTGGTTCAGTGCTGTAATGCCAATCAATAGTCAACCAATAATCACATGGTTTTGTGTGGATAACTGTTAATGATTGCTACCCTCTGGTTCTTGCTACTGCTTATGAAAACATAAACATTGGWACTCCTGTGGAGCTCTTGATAATTGATGCAAACTCAGACAATCAGAGCTCTTTGATATTGTTAATCACGACTGTTGAGGCAATCAACTCCAATATAAATGTGCAAGCTAATTTTACAGGATTTCATGTTCTTTCAGTAACTAAACTGATTCATGGAGATAGATGTGTATAACTGATTTTGATCTGGAGATTGCCTTCCTATGACACTTTGTTTTTCTGCTATATCACAAATTTTATTGGTGAGTGTAAGTGATCAAAATTCTCAACACCTTTTTTCATGGAGACCTCCACAGACTGCTGTTCCATCGTCTGTAAATGAGCCCTTTCTAAGCCCATTTTATTTCCAAGGATGGGGCATCTACCACGTCTCTCCACAACATACTCAACTGAATTGACATAGTCCTCTTCAAGTTCTACAGGACAAAACCAGGACAAATACAGCAGATTAGCCTCTTCAGAAACAGGGATGCAGAAAATGTCACCTTTTCCACACTTGTTTTGTACCTGGCACTTAYATGCCAATGATAGTAAAATTGCTCGTTGGTGTTTGTGGAATATCCTAATCTGCACAGCAAGCATCATTTAGCTCTACCTCAAGTTGCTCTCAAATGTTGGCTGGTGAAACACTTGTGTCTGAGCAGGTTCGACCACATCAAAATGATAACTATGAAATTGATTTCTAGTAAAAGCTCACTGTATGCAACCATTATTTTTGCTGCTTTCTTCACATAATAAATAACAGAGAGTTAGCATATATTGAATTCTCTCTATGGAAAGAACAGTCAAACAACAGCTTGTTTATAAGACTGTGGAGATAGTATTCTTTCCAGGAGGAGCTTCAAACTTCCTCCCACTTTGGACACCGGCTGCGATGAATGCCTGCAGCACATTGTAGCTTTTGACAGTGAGCAAAACCAAACATAATGTTAAAATYTGGGAAAAACTACTACCCTTCAGAAATAAACTCTACCATTTCAGCCATATTCTGAAATGAAAAATATTAGAATGTTGTAGAATAGCCCTAGTCTMATATCATTCAAATTTACTGATATTGAGGGCTAACAGTTACYGTGCYACCACCCTGCAAGATCCCATGCCTAAACTCTCAGCCAGGGTCTGGGGATGGCTCAGGGATGCACTGTGCTTTCAGATGTTCACAGTCTAGTATCAGACTCACTCACAGAGAAATTAATTCCCTAAAGGGATTCCAAATTTTAAATAATAGTATTTTAATGGAGACAGCAAAATAAAAGTATACTTTTAAAAAAAAAACACTACCTCTCAGAGTGATAATTTTATTTGTATGCATTCAGTAGCACACAGTTTTTTTCATAGGAATATAATCATAACAACGGTGAAACATTTGTATCAGATCTGACCAGTATTCCACTTCAGAGGATTCAAAAGCAGATATAAAAAACTTCACAGGAGGCAACGGCAGGACAACCTGCTCCCAGGAGAAAGTTTCTGCTTAATCYCCACTGATGTAATGCTTGGCCAGTTTCACAAAACATGTAGACTTATACCCCTTAGAAATTAATATACATATAGAAAAATCTGTATTTCTTACTTATAGATTTCTGTACAGTAATATTTACAATATATTGCAAAGACTTCAGTCTTATCTCATAGCAAATACTTGCTTCCAGGCCATAAACCCCAGACTTTGTACCTTTTTGTGTACCTGTTGTGCTACAGTTGCAGACATTGCCCCTTGTCACAGCACTGGAGAACCATGAAACGCTTGGGTATGAACAGCAGTTTGTTCTGCACGCTTGCACCCCATTTGACTGTTTTTATTTATATAGTTCTAGTCAAACAAAATAMTTCAACTTATGTCTTGCCTTTGTCATCAGCTGCCATTTCAGGCTCCACAGAAGGCTGGAAAACCAACTCTGTTGCTAAAACTCCTGTTCAAGCTGCAGCAGCCTGCTTTTCCACAGCTTAACACTAAAGCTGGAAAATTTCACCTCTCCCAAAGCATATATTTTATAACCAAATAGTTAAAAATAAACAAACAAAAAAACCTGTTGTTTTTTGTTTTTTGGGTTTTTTTTTGGGAAAATGATAGGTAGTGGCTAACATTAGCAAGTTTTTCTGGCTTTGAAGGATATGACTGAAAGACACAGCAGAAGAAAGGAAAACCTTTTACATGTAACAGTAATGGGAGCTGAATGAACACCAGAGCTCTCATCATCTGGAAAAAGCACTGAATTACCCATTCCCAAGACTTATGGAGAAAGAAAGATTGTCATCTATTTTTGTTCTAACRTATTGGAAATTATTCGTTTCCCCAGAAGGTATTATTAAATAAAGGGAATCTATAGCTTATCAGGCAAAGATCTTAGGTCCACATCATCTCTGAAATAAATGGGAGTGCTTGGGATCCCTACAGAGTTTGAACAAATTTTGCCACATTAGTGTGGAAAGTTACCTGAACCCTACTGAATTATTCACAAAGACAAAAAGGGGGATGAAAAAAGTATTCAGAATGGGTCCAATTCTGATTTCACTAACCTCTGCCATAAAACCCTCATCAGTTTTCAGAAATGCTRATGTTCAGTATTTTCAAGGAAATTAAACATATTCCTTCCCAACATTGAAAACTCATGAGCAATACATCTTTCATCTTAACTTTTGAGAGCTGCTCAAGTGAAAGTGCAAGAACAAATGGAAGTTTGAAAAAGAAACCAAAGATTTTGTTGGAAACAAAAAAAATTAATTCTCTTCTGCTACGGCAGGGCACTGGATTATAAGTCAGAAGATTCTTCTTGCACTCTAAGCTATCCATGTTTCCAAAGAAAAGCAATTCTTAACTCTGATATATAAATATGTATGTGGTACAGCATCTTTCAAAGGGAGCATGAACATAACAGATACATCATGTTCTTGACTAATAAAATTACACCATGTCCCTTAAAAACCTGCACCTTAAAGTGTATAMATCTTACCATATTAGCAGCATCTTGAAGTTTTCTGAAAATCGTCCTTTTATAATAACATAACAAATATACATGGAGATTTCATTATTTAAGAAAATATTCACATATACTACCTTCCCTCTAAGTCTAAAGGAGCTCACACAAAAACTATTTTATTTACTCCTAATTGAAATCTGGGTTCAACAATTATTTTATCTGGAATATTTATCTAGTTATCTTGARAACTTCAGACATGTAGACCTTAGTACCTAACACTAGAAAAAGAAAAAAATGCCTTGCATTTCCAAACTGATGCTGTAATTGAGAACTAACCATCCAAGGACTGAGAAGCACATTTAAAACCCATGGAAATGCCACTCAGATGATATTTAGCTGATGTCGATGAACTCTTCAAGGGCAACTCGTCCACAACCATGATAACACAAAGCAAGCTTTTAACCTCTGCAGGACCAACAGGTCAGGTCAACGTTATGCCAGTCAGGCAGCTTCCACAGATGGGCATCTGCACAAATGAAAGAGAAAGTGGCTTTGGCTTTGGGGTTGTTTGGTTGAGGTTTTTTTTGCATTGTGGTTTGTAATGTTCACACAGAAATGCTTTGATTTTCTAGCAAGCAATGAGAGGTTGGGGTGTTTGAGGAATAGCCAGCAAATTCCGTAAGTTATTGCAGAGCCCTCATTCACTACACTAACAATCCAAAATAWCACCTTTTAAAACACGTTTAGCTCAGGCAGTGCAAATGAAGCATTTTAYTGATGACATTGAGTAAGGCGTTGTCCACACGGGGTGTCACCAGGACATTCCCTGGCCTGGCTGTGCCCTAACATGCCTCCTTGCCTGGCAGCACAGCCCTGCTGCAGACCCACGCTAGGGAAGTGTGGCTTTACACAGCCTGGCAGTCTCCTGGCGTGACTCTGTAAGAGCCTGCTCACTCWCTGCATARAACTAAAGGGGTTACACCAGGAGCTGCCAAACCTTGCAGTGTTTGCAATGTCAGAGTCAGGCACACATYGCAAACAAATTGCACCATGCTGCAAAGCAGAACAATGCAAAACCTCCCTCAATACCTGTTTCTTGGAACCACGCTCCTGGAAGCATTTTTGCTTTTCTTTCCCAAAGGCTGAGCAAGCTGTGCAACAAACAAGCAAAAGCAAACTAGATGGATACAAGGTACACCAACTTAGCTGGAATATTTTGAGAAAGAGAGGTTTGGCAGGAATTTAGCTTACAACATGTTTGCTCAGTATCTCAGATAAAGCTGCCCCAGTCAGTCCTCTCCAACCAAGCAAATGATGTTGAGCGATGTCAGGAGGAGCTCTGATCCAACAGCCCTGGTAAGACAGAGCCTTGGAATATCCAGGTGGAGTCTGTCTGCAAGGGAACACCTGACCCAGAGGTCATTGCCACTTCATTCCCACATTCTACCCCCACCCCTGCTGACAAATTCATTGCTGGATAGAGATGGGTGCACAACACAGACCTTCTGGAGTGACATCCTGGGCCAGTGAGTTGATGTTGGCTATTACTGGGGATGGCAGCTGCTGCCACAATTTGCTTTTCCAGGGGCTTTTGTTTCCTGCTGTCTCGCTGGGGCACAGTTCACAATCTCCACTCRTCATTGCAGTCTTGGACATCCGTGGACTTGACAAGAGTGAGGCTTCCAAGGGGTGGAGGGAAAAGGTAGGAAACAATAATAAAATACTAAACTTGGACAAAGTAGACATAAGCCAGATGAGGGAAAAGTTTCTTCCTGTGTCTGGTTTTRTTCAACTTCCAAGTCAACAATTCTGAAGAAAGAAGAAAAAGAGTGTCACTTGTTACTTAYCACATCAGACAAACATAAGGTGATACTCTAAAGCCTTTATTCAGCTGCTTATGGCTATTGCCAACATAGTAAATTACCCTCCCTGGAGATTTCCACTTGAATAATGCCCATTCATTTAAGAATGATGAGAAACTCAAGGCTGAATAATCTTGATTCAAATCAGGAAGGAGGACGCAGAATGAACCCTTTTCTTAGAATTGAGCAGAACTGAAAGTGAGAGGAACTGAACTGCAGAGGTGAACCCAGGCAGCTTTCCACCAAGGAACAGCAATGCTAATTCTGCCAAGGACCTCAGTTTTCTGAAGCTCACAACCCACACTCTGCAATCATTACTCTGATGAAACATGCTAAAGAACCTGATCCTCCAAACAGCTCTTATTTACATGGTGCTCCACCAGGTCCCGGAGAGCTCATGAAAAATTAAACAGAGAACATAAAATATGAATGCAGTGATCACTGGCCCATAAAAGCTCTGCAGTTCTTGAAAGGTGTTTTATATGTAACGAGTGTTGGGATTTCAGAAATGAGGTTTCTGCCTCATTGTCCAAAGAAGGTGTAACAATTTTCAAGGTTCTATATAAAACTTCCAAGTATGTGCCTGGGAGCACCAGGAAGAGGACATTGCTCCCCAGCACAGCACAGCAGTCCACTGCCACTAAATAAGCAAACCAAACAGAGCCAAATACTTGGATATTGTGAAAACATAAAGATATCCAATTTGATGCTGTATTTTCAGAGAAAGTTTAGAACTGAATGAAAATTTGGACCAGAACAACAAGASTCATATTGCAATCACGTGATGATAACAACTCTCTCGTTAAATTCTGTCCAGTAAATGTATTTAACTTACGGCAACTCATGATGACCTTTGGCTTTTATTCTGGGTACTCTGTACAGGTATTTTTAGCTGACCTTTTCCTACTTCTGTGTCCTAAATGATAAGTATGCTCTCAGTTTTCAGAAATTATCCTACAGCTGAGATCCAACAGCTGTGAGTCATCCCTAGTATTCTTAAAAGGAGGTTTATAAGTAAGGACCTCTGAATTAGTCTTTCCTAGGCTGTTAGAAATTTTGGTGCCAAAGAAAACTGCAATCAGCATAGAGTGCTCCCTTGTTCTAGGTATTAAAGTTATTGCAGAATGAATCCACATTCAGTTGAATAAACTTGCTGGTTACCTCGTGGAGATCTTTTCACCACCTGGTTAGGCTATGTACTACCATTTTATTTTTATGGTAAAAACAAAAAGCCATTGACCAAGCCCATGTGAGGTCACACTGGTTGAGCCCCTGGTATTTCCCACCCTCCTGCTCCTGCCTTTGCCCTGGTGCAGCACCTCCTGTGCAGATTGCACACTCCCTGGGTGCTCACCAGCATCTCCTGCCTCAGCTGCAGCACTGGACATGCTCAGCACCCTGCAAACGGATGGGGAAAGGGCCAGCTGCTCCCTCTGGGGCCAGCTGTGCAGTCATGACCATGGCTCTGGCCCTGGACCCTACCCCCATCAGGGGCATTCAGGAGCAAACAGGCTTTTATTTCATTGTTTTTCTTGTGTGGYTCATGCTTGCTGGAATCTGCCTCTTGTTTGGCAAGGCTGGCAGCTGCCAGGAGCTTCACAAAACCACCACCTTCCTCATTTTGTTTTGCGGATTTCCTTGGCCTTTTATCACAGAAGGATGAGCATGAAGAAATGATTAGTTCAGGAGAGCCCTTTGTTCTCTCTAAGGTTATTTGGGAAGGGATTTGTTACATAACAACACTGCTTTTAAGTTGCCAGCCGGATACCTGAGAACTTTCTTATCTGCAAGGCCTTGAAAACTTTGTGTAAARTGGCTCTCTCCTTGTCTTCCTCCTCTGCAGGAAGAAAATAGGCTTTTGAGAAAAATTGTTATTCTAAAAGTGAACCGAATTTCACATTATTAAAACCAGTTTTGAGTAAGCAAATGGATTTTTGCATTATATGGATTAAACGAATTTAGAGTGACARCCTCACATCCACATAGGAATGAAGCTCAAGCACTACAATTCTCCACATTCATAAGGCCCACATGCTGTATCTACACCAAATGATGTTCTTCTCATGCACCAATTAGAACTGTCAGAAAATTTACATGTAATCCTTCATATCAAGATCCACTCATGCAATTTTTAAATACCTYACTGTAAGATATGGTAGTTATCCTAGGGGCTTAATGTACTGGAAGGAGAAAAACTGTTATCTCCTAAATTATCAATACCAAAGGCTCCATGAATGTAGTTCTTTTTCAGGAGATCATACGCAAAATAAACAWCACTTTTATTAAATCAAAGACATCGGCTTTTACCAGAGCTACATGTGTTCTGCTGTGTATGTGAAGAAAAATTTAGATTTCTAAAGTTAGATCCACACCTTTGTGTTAATTAGCTTAAAACAGTGAAGTACCCCTCTGACCAAGGCAGACCACACAACCCATTCCCAATTACCAGCACCAAACCACAGTGCAAAACCCACTGCACAGGAAAACCCAAAGCCTGTGAAACGCTACCAGATCACCTGGAAAACAGAAAACATGGAGGAAGTAAAATTGCTAGCAGGGGCACTGAAGCAGTTTTGCTTTCTTGATACTGTGGGGTACCTGTGTGTACGGGGAATGAGACAGAGTGAAGAAAAGTAAAGAGGGGGAAAACTGTAGCAGTGTAGTATAAATACAGTACACTCCTGATGAGTAATAGTTTCAACARTACAGTATAAATACAGTGTACTCCTAATTAGTAATAGTCTGTTTGGTCTGTTATCCAAATAACGTAACTAAGAGCTGAATACTTTTAAAAGATTTTTTTCTAGTATTTAATACAGCAGAAATTAGAGGAAACAAGCTATTTGCAAAGCAGGAATCTACAAAGTGCAGGCATCCTTCACAGACACTGACTCTTTAATTTCCTGTGGGGGGTCTAATCTAAACGTGGCAAGCTGCAAGCATTTACTTACTTGTATTTTGGTTTTTGTAACAACACGGATTTCTGCTTTGCAAAAAGACATACCACTTGGAACATGTGGTAAACAATATAYATTTTCCTTCAGCCCTTCCTGAAAAGACTAATATAAACCATGAGAGGTCAACTGYTCTCTAAAAAGGAAATAGAAATACAAATTGTCAGGGCGAGGCTTTGCACACACCTTGAGTTCACCAGGCTGCAGCGCATGCCGAACGAAGCCATCACGCCAGTTCCTGGATCATCTTGTTAGTCTCCTTGGCTTTCTTACACGTGTACAACCATTTGATGATCCGAGCGTTGCGCTCAATCACGGAGGTGCTGCTGGGGACCTGCTCTGTGAGTTCATCCTCCAGCAGCCCCTCGTCCCCGCTGTGCCTGGTGAACTCACTCTCGGACGTCGCCACGCTGATGCTGCGGATCTTGAAGGAGACGCTGTCAGACACCACGGAGAAGTTCTCTCTCCCAAGATCCTCAATGACCTCCTGTTCCAGTCCGCAGTACTTGAAAAATGTTTCAAGTTCAGCAAAGGACTTGGAATAGCGAGAGCTGATGTCTGACTGGGAGCGATGGAGACCTCTCCTCTTCACCTCCTTGACCTCTTCAGGAGGTATAGTCAATTTTGAGGGTACGTCATGCTCTTTTGTACATACCCCTGCCCCTTCAGTGCCCACAGGGACAGTCTGCGCCACTCCATGGTCGCTCGGCTCSTCTTGGTCACCATCTTTTGCTGAGAGAGGCTCGTTGTTCTCGGTGGTTGCGATGTCCTCCATGACTCTGGGCAACTCAGGGGAAGCCAACTGCTTCTCCTTTATGGACCCATTAAAGATCCTCCTCACCAAGCTCCCTCGTGGGCTGTCCTGGCTTTGACCTTTCCCAAGCTCGCATTTCTGACGGTAGATCACCAGGGAATCCGGCCGCATCTGCCTCTTGGTGCTGCGCCTGGCGATAGGGGGGCCGTGCTGGAGGGGGGTTCGGCACGAGTTCACCGCCTTGCCCAGCTCCAGGGGCTTCCCGCCCGTCCCTCTGCCCAGCTCCCTGCTCCCTGCTCTGCTCTCCACCGAACAGCTCTCGCTGCTGCTCTCCGAGGCTGAGCTGAGCGCGATGACGGGATCCTGCCTGGTGCTGATGACCTGCTGGCTCTTTACGTACTTGGCCTTATCGGCGGCCAGTCTCTCCACGGCACTTTTCCTGCCCGGCTTGCCGGCCTCCAGCTGCCTGCGGAGGTACTCGGGCCCCTTGTTGAGCAGCCGCAGGGGGAGGGAGGAGTGGAGGTCGGAGATGGCGTGCATTCCCACGGCCCGGGAGAGTTCAGCTGGCATAGCAGTTTCAGGGACGCGGATCCTGCCTCCAGTCCCGGGAGGAAAGGGGGACCAAAAAACAAANAAAAAAAAAAAAAAAAAAAAAAAAAAAAAAAAGAAGAAAAAGGAAGAACGCGAAGTAGCACCGGCTGGGCGCCGAGGCGGCGGCTGCGCGCTCCGAGGGCCGCGCTCCCCGCTCCCCGCTCCGTCGGGGCGCCGCGTGTCCCGCCCGCGCCCCACGCCCGCCCGCCAGCCGGCACAGCCAATCCCGGCCGGCACAGCCAATCCCGGCCCGCAGGAAGCGAGGGAGGGAGGGAGGGAGGGAAGGAGGCAGGAGCCGCCCTGGGGGTGGCAGCGGCCCGGCCCCCACCACCTCCCGCGGGGCCGGGGCTCCGGGGGCGCGGCGCTGCGGTGGGCGCGGTGCCCGCTCCGACGGCGGGGCGCTCGGACGGTTTGTTCCCCTCAGAAACATCCTCTCCCAGGCCGCCCTTTGGGGACGGGAGGCTGCTTTAGGGCCTGACCCGGCAGACCCCAGCGCATCTTCCCCTTCGGGGGGCACCACCTTGCCCCGCTCCTKTCGCGGCCCTTGGGCGGTGCGCTCYCCTCCGCGGGTTTCGCTGCCCGGCCGTGCCGGCGCTGCGCTCCAGCAGCAAGCTTTGGAATGATCGGGGAASGACGGGACTTCGGGCTGCCAGCGCTCAGCGGCGGAGCAGGGTCCGGGCAGCACAGATGTGTCCCCAGCTGTGTCTCCAGCTATGCCCCCCAGCTGTGCCTCCAGCTGTGCCCCCCAGCTGTGCTAGAGGCATCCTGCCCTTCCCGGGGCATCGGCGGCAGCAGGGAGGTGTTTGTCCCTGGCCCACAGCTGTGTTGTGTCCGTACACGTGTAAAGTGCTGTGGAATGGCATTGGTCTGAATTGCGCCTTGCAAACCTTCAGAARCATAGGGCAGAGTTCCCATCTGGGGCTGGCAATTCTGAACAGGCAGGACAGAGCCATTGGCTGTCATGTAAACACATGAAAGTCAGACTTGTCGTAAGTAATCACCTGGGACACTTCAACTTTAACTCGTGATCTCATGTGAGATGCACTGAGGTCAAAAATAACTGAATTATAGATAACTTTTTTTTCTTACGTGGGAAACAAAAGCCAGGTTATATGTGCAAGCTTTTTCATGCTTTTTTCTTTCTTTCTTTCTTTTTCGGTTTGGTTTGGTTTTAGTTTGTCTGTTACTTCTGGGGGAATACTGGAATGCTTTTGTGGTACTTGGTTCATACATCATCTTTACAATCACTTATTGTAGCAAACAAGTTTAGAAAGGAAGAGATGAGCCTCCCTGTCCTCGTTATGAAGTTTCAGGGTACTCCACTTTGCTTCGGGCAAGGTTTGCACCATGACAAGAGAAAGGTTAGGAGCAACTCTGGAGACAGACAGAGTTCGGGCTAGCTCTTCRGTGAAGACCTTCTTAGAAACACACAAAATAGGAATTTTCTCTTGCCAACRTGGTTCTACTTCTTTTCCCCTTAATTTTACATCACCTTTGTTCCTAAACATGTAGGAACTCCAGAAGCCCCATAAGACATACAACTGCCTGTTCACAGTGRGGATCCCAGACATGATGCTTGCCTRAATAACTTGTGTCATACTTTGAGATCACTTAGAGTGAAATTCTTGTTGATAAGTAAAATGGGTGCAGTTTTTTGAGAAAGAACTTTTTTTTCTTCTACAGGTATACAAGTAGAGCTGGTTCATGTAACTTATGTAAATACCAATATTCTTGAAAACTGAGACAATAATAAAAGTTTAAGCASAGTTAATTGCTAGGGAACACTTTCCTGTTAAAGTGGTTCGTACACTGATGTGTCAGGGTATAGTTAATATCATTACATATTTAAATGCTTCATGGGATACTGRGCAGGTAGAGAAGGCTAATTGTCTTCTGACAATGAATCTGAGCAATCAGCTGAAATATGTAATGAATTTAGTAAGGAGATACTAAGATTTCATTCCCATATTGACAAATCTGCCTTATTTTTTTCTTTCAACATTTTCCTTGGAGTTCTATGGCAGTGCATAAAGTGATAACACATACTCACATTTCTCCATGCATTTGAATTTGTGTTTGTTCCAAATTCTAGTGTCTTAACTTACAAAAACCCCATTTATTTGCATTCGTTTGAAATAATGACAAAAATGATCACATACAAGTATCAGTAAGAAGGGTCTTACTAAACAATTACAATTCATTTCTTTATCAAAGCTATTCATTTACTCCTTGCAATATTATACAGTTTTTCTCAGTGGACATTAGCTTTATGTTTAGAATTGATATACAAAACCAATTTAAAAATATGGTTTTGATGAAAAAAGGGTTTAAAACATTTTAAAAAATTGAGACATTGGTTTTAAATGCATGCCTGAAAGACAAACCTGGACACTTTTTATGGAATATTTTCATTTTTCAGCCAGTTTCATCCCCTTCTCACTGACAAAGGAAGAYGTGAGTTTTGGTTTTCTATAAAGTGCATGAAATTTCTCATGAAAAATTGCTASAGCAATTTTCAGCTGACTTTTCAGATATGTGAGATAATTTTCCCTGAGAATTCTGGGTGATGACAATATCGTTTAAGGGGAAGAAGAGTCTTCCCAGGGTCAGAAAACACTGTGAGCAACAAAATTCTATAATCCTGTCTCCCTTTAATAAGGGACATCAATATAGCAGCTGCACAGTTATGTGATATTTAAAACATATTTAGGTCACATATTTTAAAACCTGAATGCATTTTAGTTTAAAATATRATTCTATGTGATTTTAAATACTTACATTTGTATTTCTTAGAATTAGCTCTCATATTTATGGACACAGTCTTACAGTATTCAAAGGAGAGGGAGCCATTGCATTTCTTCTGGAAAGCAGAGAGAAAGAGAGTGTATCATGAGAGCCCCAAGCAAACCAACTTTGCCCCTGTCCCAGAACAGGCTTGCAGATAATAAAATGGAAATAAACATGGGTGCAGCAGCACCCATCCCTCAGCCTATCAGCTGCCATCAGTCTCCACCTGGAACCAATGCATTAGGCAAAGGAAGAGAAGCAAGTCCTGCACACACTAAGCCTGAGCTGACACAAGTTTTCTCACAGAAAAGGAGTTCTACAAAACACCTTTGAGTAAGCTGGTATTTAAAGTTATCACTAAACACAAAGCAGTTGAATTTTATGTGGGGTAAGAAAAATGACTTCTCACTGTGTTTTTATTAAGAAGAGATGTTTTCAGAGCACGGATAGATACTGAGCCAGAGGAAAGCCAGAAACAGAACTGGTGCAGTGTCACTGCAAGCAAGCACTGCAATGTGTGCAGAGCTTAGCTCAGTGCTGTTGCTGCTCCCACCCCATTGCCAGTGTCAGTGACATTCTGATTTATAGTGGTCAAAGTGCAAAAATGAAGTGGTGGCAGTGGAAGGCAAAGGCAAGCAGGAAAGGGGAGTTCAAGCCCTATAGAAATGGGACGCTCCCATTTTGGAGATCACCAAAAGTGTGTCCCAGGGCTGAGGTTTCTCCCCCCCAGCAGCTCTCAGTGCTGGATACAGGTGTTGCAGCCCACATCAGAGGGTGGTTTGCTTCCCCTGTGACACTAAGTGGTRACACTGAGTGGTGCCACTGAGTGTCCTGTTTGCTGCACTGGGTTGGTGTAAAGCAGCCACAGCACAGAAATGAACAATTTCCAAACAGCTGTCTCCAATGGGGAAAYTTTAGACCTTTCAGCATGAAATCAGTGGCAGTCCCAATTCACTCTCAGATTCACACACTGCAAGATATAGGCATGCCTGTACATCTTGAGGCAGACTTTCAAGTCTTTGGGCTTGAGCACTGTATGGCAAAGGCAGACCAGTATCACTTCTCTGTCTTTTTTTAGCCTCTCCCATCACTACCAGATTTCTTAGCATCCTATTTCACCCTTGTGATTTTGGGTCATTTACTTCATTAAACAGCTTGGCATCTTAATCAGAAAACATCTTCCTCCTAAATCAATTGTAATTAGTGGGCTTGATTTTTTAGCAGAATTTTGGAAACCCTAGCAGTTCTGAACTTTCCAGGTTCAACAGCCATAATGGATCTCAATGGGACTGTGTAATTTACATCACAGTGATTCTTGGGAACATATGGGGAGCCTTATTAGAACAAAGAGCAGAAGGAAAGTGATGGAATATCACAGTGAGAGCAAGAGATGAAAGGGAGAACAAATGCAACASGCATTATACCGGGCAGTGACAATGGGGAAGGTGCAAGCCATAGCATGCTTCTTTCCCCTTTCATGCCTTTTTGTCCCTGCAGTACATCTGAGCCTGCACTAATTCCTTTCTTCATACACCTCTAACATGTCTAAAATGTAAAAAAAATTAAAAATCCAACCCAGGTTTGGTACTTTAAGTGTGTGTGTTAAAATACTGAGATTGAATATCTTGATTTGAAAAGATTGATATGTTTACCATTTTGTCTGATAAAAGTCACCAAGTAATTTGGAAAGGAGGGGAAGRGACAGAGTTTTTACAGTAAAATACTGCTATGATGCTGTAAAGGATATAAGTAAGTTAACTCCCAGAAAACAATTCTGATGCTGAAAGGGATCCCTTGAATTTTGAATTGAGATACTTTATGAATAAGTGCCTGTTACGTGWTAAAGGCAATGGACAGAAGATAGTAATTCTATAATCTACTGTACATGCACCTAGGAAGTGCATGCATTTTTAGTTATTCTTGCAAAATGCAAGGATTTAAACAGGGCAGGTTAAAAAGGTCTCACCTTAACTGCTGTTTCAGGTGTTCACTGGAGATGTGCATTCAAGTCACAAAATGGTATCTAAAAACCTCATCTCTTCTACCATACATGCTGACATAATGTTATAAGCTCTCACAATCTCATTTTCAATGATACAGACCTGAGTTTAGATAACAAACAACAGGATAATATTCATATTTGAAAATCCCAGTGATACATAGGAGCTCAACCACACTCAGAGCAGTCTTCAGACTTTTGAATGTCCTACCAGCTTATGCAGRTGTTGCCCCACTCAGACAGTCTGCTGGAAATCCCATTCCCTA